CTGTCTTTTGTTTCTGTGACTTGCTTGTCAGGAGCCCTCTGCTCCCTCGGCAGTGGTGGCCAGAGAGCAGGGTGCAGTAGTGCTCAGTCCCTGTTCCTGAAAGAGCTCCCTTCCAGAGAAATCGCCCAGAGCCTGGGTGAAAAGGAGGCAGATTTTAAGCTGCTGAAATCTCCCCTGGAGATAGTATCACAAGCAGTCAGCAAGAAGCAAGCCTGCGTTAGAATTTGAAAAGTACATGATGTAATCACAATCACACAGCTTTTGTGCAGCACTTTACAGTTTACACAGCCCTTCCACATACATTAGCTCATTTGAGAAAATTGCAAGGAATTAGTTAACTACGGAAAAGTACAAAGAAACCAATAAAATTCATCTGTGAATCCGCCGCTCAGAGAAAATCTTTGTTAACGTTGTGATGTGTTCCCTCCAATCTAAATCTACTTCCTGGAGCTTTTTTTGTCTTTTTGCCGCCTTGGGACCAACCCCACATATACTGTTATGGCCTGCAGTGTTCGTGGAACACTGTGTCTCCTGCCATCACATTTGATCCTCACACCCATCTCCTAGGAAGCGGGAACTGTGCTGTGAAGCGTCCCTAGTTGAGGTCCTAATTGCACCTCATCCCAGACGCCACTCTCTAGCTGAAGCCTATTACTGGAAACCTGAGCCTCCGTTTCTTCCTATATAGAATGAAACTGTGTGCTGAAGGGCAAAGGTCATGAAGCAATGCACCTGCAAACACCCAGCTCCGCACCGGTCCCTAGTAGTGCCCAGGTCATGCTGTATATAGCTAAAGTCAGGTGCAAACCACCATGTCGATGAGAATTGTAATATGAAAGGTCAGGCACGGGTTGGTTCAGAGCTCCGGGGACTGTCAGGTGTGTCGGGAGTGTACCCAATGTGTTCTCTATAACACCCAGTGGGTGACAAACAGTATTCCCTAGACCCCACAGGAGAGCTTAGGATGTGGATGCCAGTGAATCCCACTGCAGGTACCCCGAAGTTCAGAGCTGGAGGCTGCCTGTTCCTCAGCACTGCTGGGCAACCTTCCTTATTGGGGCAGCCCACACTTGGGCATTACTGGGGGCACGTTCAGTGGACACGGCTCCCTCTGCTAACAGGTAGTGGCTGAGCACATCCTGCAGCGACTTGGGAGGCACACAAGATGCTCTAGATAGTCTCAGTTGAGAGAACTCAGGGATTCGTTGGGTATGGCACCTACTGTATGTGCCGGTGCTCTGTAGAGCCATTTTACCTTGGAAGGTCTTTCCCTCCAACTCAAGGGCAGGAGGCCCCTGCCTGTGCATGTAAAGCTGAAGAGAAACCACCATACACACATGCACTTCTTCATGGTGACGATCAACTACTTGTTTGAAGCCTCATCACAAAGGAAGACCCATTTCTCCACATGCATGTGCTGACCCACATTCACATGCACACACAGCTGCACACGCACACAGCCACGTATGCACATAGCTACACACAACCACACACATGTACACAGCTACACACATACAACCACACACATTCACATGCACACACAGCTGCACATGCACACAGCCACGTATGCACATAGCTACACATACAACCACACACATGTACACAGCTGCACACATATAACCACACACATTCACATACACGTGTACACAGCTACACACATACACAGCCACACACATTCATGCACGTATGTACACAGCTACACACATACAACCACACACATTCACATGCACGTGTACACAGCTGCACACACATCATCTTTCCTGGAGAGGCAGTGTGCTGGTGAAGGGCACCAACCCAGGTTGACCTCCCGAGTGACCTCTAGATTTTGAAACTGCCTTCTCAATGGTCAGATGATCTACAAATGCCTCCCTCCCGGGATGGCTGTGGGGCCATGGGTGGTGAGGGGAGCTTTCTAGAGGAAGGGAAACCACGTGGACCAAGCACCCTACCTAGAGCCCAGCTTGGGCTTATTTGCTCTACAAGCCCTTTTCAGCCGTCACAGACCCTTGAACTGCAAATATTGGAGCAAATAATGAGCTTAAAATGGGCTTATTGATCATCTTCTGTGCATATAATTAGAGGACACAAGCCCAGTAGTTCAAGGCTGCAGTGAGCTGTGATCGTGCCACTGCATGACAGCCTGGGCAACAGAGTGAGATTTTTGTCTCTGGTTAAAAAAAAAAAAAAGAGGCTCAGCACCCATAGCTCAGTGGTTAGGGCACTGGCTACATATACCAGGGGTAGCGGGTTCAAACCTGGCCCAGACTGTACATTAAAAAAATAGCTGGACATTGTGGAAGGCACCTGTAGTCTCAGCTACTTGGGAGGCTGAGGCAAAAGAATCACTTAAGCCCAAGAGTTTGAGGTTGCTGTGAGCTGTGATGCCGTGGCACCCTACCAAGGGCAATTTAGTGAGACTCATAAAAAAAGAAAGAAAGAAAAGCCACAAAAGGAAAACTTGAAGGACAGGCTTTAACTTCACGGTGATTTCAAGCAGAGGCTTTTCACATACACGGCCCAGAAACACTGAGCACTGCCAGGCACCAGGCACTGTGCTGGGGGCAGCAGCAAAGGGTCACAGCCTCTCCAGGGAAGTTGCCCTTAATTTCAGCTCAAGTTGACAAGTGCTTTAAGAGACTTATGAATCAAGTACTCTCAGACCACAGAGAAGACATGGACCACTCTACCTGGCAGGGTCAGGAGAGGTCTCCCAGAGAAGGCACCATCAAGGCTGAATCTTTTTTTTTTTTTTTTTTGCCAGCATTATTTTTATTTCAAATTAATCTGGGGGTACAGATTTTTAGTTTACCTTATTTTCAATTATAAGATAAGATTCAAGTTGTAGTTGAGCCCTTCACCCAGGGGGGCATGCTGAGCACCCTCACATTGTGCACAGTAGGTGAGATCCCACAAATGCCCTCCCTCCTCCCACCAGTCACCCTCCCTCCTCCTCCCTCCCCTTTCCCTCTTTTCCCCTCCTTCTTGCTAGACTATAAGTATATTTCATCATTCCTGTGCACATGTAGTTATATATACATTAGTTTCATATTAGTATTGAGTACACTGGATTTTTTTTTTCCATTCTAGAGATACTTTATGAAGAAGAACGTGTTTCAGCTCCATCCAGATAAACATAAAAAATGTAAAGTCTCCATTTTTTCTTGTGCCTGAATAGTACTCCATGGTGTACATATGCTACAGTTTGTTAATCCATTCATGGGTTGATGGGCACTTGGGTTGTTTCCATGACTTGGCAATTGTGAATTGAGCCACAGTAAACATTCTGGTGCAAATGTCCTTGTGGTAACATGATCTTTGTTCTTCTGGGTGGATACTTCGTAATGGAATTGTGGGATCAAATGGAAGATTGACTTAGGCTGAATCTTAAAAAGTAAATAGAAGGGTTTTAAGGTGCAGAAGACATGGGCAAAGGGAGGGAGGGCATTACAGAGAGGGACGAGTATAAAGGTGTAAGGGAAAGATGGCTTTGAGTGCAGAGAGAAGACTATTGCTAAAGAGTCCAGAGTACATGGGGACGATAGTCAGAAGTCCATGATTGGGTGGTGCCTGTGGCTCAAGGAGTACGGCACTGGCCCCATATACCAGGTTGGTGGGTTCAAGCCCAGCCCCAGACAAAACTGCAAAAAATAAAAAGCAGAAGTCCATGACTATTACAGGAAACCTGGGTTTAATTCTGCAGGTTGGAAGGGCTCCATGGGCTCAGAGGGTCCTGCATGGAATGAAAATTCCAGCTTCCTCGTCTTCTATTCATTCAGTGGTTGGCATAGAGGGAATCTTCCAATAGGACAACAGTTTGACTTGGAAAGCTGCAGAAAATCCTAAAGATAGCCAAGAATGTCTCATAAATCACTGCATCTCAGCTGACTCCCCAGGCAGCATTTGGAAATACAGGGGTGCATTTGGAATGGCATGGGACCGTCTGAGAATGCTATGAGCATTTAGTGGGCAAAAGTCAGGATTCTGTTCTTCCATATATGGGGCAGGTCCCTCTAGTGAAAGAGTGCCCCCCCACACAAAATACCAGCAGCAACTCTGTTGGTATCTCTTGCTCCAAGGGAGATTGCTCGAGCTCAAGAGTTCCAGACCAGCCTGAGCAAGAGCAAGACCTCATCTCTGAAAATAGCAGAGTATTGTGGTGGGTGCCTATAGTCCCAGCTACTCAGGAAGTGAGACAAGAGGATCTTTTGACCCTAAGAGTTTGAGGTTGCTGTGAGCTACAATGCCACAGCACTCTACTCAGGGCAACAGAGTGAGACTCTGTCTCAAAAACAAAAGAAATGTGTTTGTTTTGTTTTCTTTCCTGTAGCTGGTACAAAGTTGAAATTGGTAGCTCCAGGGAGAAAGACGCATCAGGTCATGCCAAGGTCCTTTTTGGTGTCAGCTCTTCTCTTCTTTGGACACTTCCCCCTGTTATTTGAAATTGTTGTGCCAGGTCATCTAGGAAAACATTTCTTGTTTGCTTCTAGGGGGTTATGGTCGGTTAGACACTTGTCAGTAAGCACCACCATTGTTCTTAGCTAAGAGGGGGCTCATTTCTCAGACAGCAAGGGCATCATCTTTTCATCATCACCTTTTTGAAATTAGATTCAGTTGCAGGAGGAAATAAATGTGGTTATCCTCTCTGGGTCTAACCAGTACACTTCAACCTTTTTTGTCTCACAGCATACTTGAACCTATAGTTAAACTTCTGCAGCACACTTTAAATTGTGAAAAATATGAGTAAAAAAATGAATAGACTTAATGTGCTTTGAACTTCTTCTGAAAATAATTTACTTAATCTTTAAAAACTTTTACGGCACACCTAAGTTCCTCTCATGGCACACCAGTGTGCCCCGGGATGCCCGTTGAAGATCACTGGTATGACCCATCCGCAGCGTCCCCAGGGGTCATAAACTAGGGAGGGCAGGGCCCAGCAGGGAGGCTTGTGGGTCCCTTGGGCCTCTGCTGCTTATTCCCACGCCCCCTGTCCTGCCTCGCAGCTCCAGAAGCAGCTATCCGAGCTGGACGAGGACGATCTGTGCTATGAATTCCGACGAGAGCGCTTCACCGTGCACCGCACCCACCTGTACTTCCTGCACTACGAGTACGAGCCCGTGGCAGACAACACAGATGTCACCCTGGTGGCCCAGCTCTCCATGGACAGGTATGGCATATGGCCCCGCCCACCCCACTCTGACCCCGCCCACCACGCCCGGCCACGCCCACCTTCCGCCTCCACCTTACTGCTGCTGTCTGCCGGGAGGACAGAGGATGGAGAGGGAAGGCTGGTTCCCATGCTCAGAATACTGCAATCTGACAAGGCTGGACTTATATCTCATCACCCACCCCCCACCCTAGCCCACAAAACCAAGGGCTGTCATCTCACTGCTGTTGTTTGAGAATGAAAGGAAGGAATGAGTCTTCAGAGGTGAGGAAGAGGCGGAGTGTGCAGACAGGAGCCCCAGTTTGCCTCCAGAAAGCATCTGCCTTGTACATTTGCTGATGCTGCAGCTGTCATCTAGCGCTTCTGGGCAGGACTGACACAGGCCCCGCCCTGATGTCACCTACAGTCTAATGCGCTGATTGTCAACCTTGGCTGGGGACAGATTAAATCACTTGGAAGAGGGCTTATATAACACATTCACGTTTTAAATGAAGATAAAATCAAATTCTCCATGTTAAGGCTGGATGGAGGTCTGCGTGGGTCTTCAGTCCCTCAGGTGGTGTGGCTGCCCCTCAGGCCTCTCCCATCCGGTACCTGGAGCTCAAGGACTGTCCGACAGGCACCTGGGTTCAACATAAATATTGCCCAGGTAGAACCCAGGTGCCTGCCTGTGCTGCATCCGATAGGCACCTGGGTTCTACATAAATCTTGTCCATAGAACCCAAGTGCCCGCCTTCTACTGAGCACCACCGGTTCTCCTCCGTCTCATTCACGCCTCCTGGTCATATTTTCAGGATCAAGGTTGGGAGTAGTGGCTGCTGATGAGAATAAAAGCTGAATCTTTCTAATCAGAATAAAAAGTGGCTTAACAGTGGATGAGACATGGCCACTGGAGTTCTCTGTGGTCCAGCTACTTTTTGAGTTTGACTTGCAGGCAAATCACTTGACCTATGCTAAGCTTTAGTTTCTTCCATAACCAGGGAGTGGTAATTATATCATTATCACAATTATCCCTGAGATTGTAAAGATCTGATGAGAGGCTGCAGCCCAAAACTTAGCCCTGATGTCCATTCACAGGCTCCCTAAATGATACTAGTACTGTTGACCAAAATCTCCATATTTGTGCTGCTGAGTAAAAACGTCAGTCCCCAGCCAGTGATCCTGGGCAAGTCACTGGACATCTTTGGGTTCCTGTTTTCTCCTTTGATGACACAGGGCTCAAAATACTTGCCACACAGGGTCCTGTTAGCATTAAACAAAAGATTCTCGGTAAAAGCCTTGGCACATATTTGGTGTCCCATAAATATTGTCCAGACTTGAACATCCTTACAAAGACATCTGCACCTGGTTGGTATCTAGGAGTGGTGAGGTGATGGAAGAGAAAAAGAAAACAGGAGGACCTGGGTTCAAAGTCCAGCGTGCCACTGCCCGCCTATGTGAGTTCAAGCAAGGGTAGCTCAGCCTGTGTGAGCTTTGCTTGCCTTACCTAGGAGGTGACAATAATGCTGTCTGTCCAGGTCTCAGACTATTGTTTTTCTATAAAATAAGAAGCTGTAAAGTGCCCAGTAAGGAGTAGGTGTGAACAAACACTCATTTCCCTTTTCCTAATGATTCTTACCTCACTGCTGGCTGTGGAATTTGCTATCTGGAATTAAAAACAAGAAGAGGAACATGTTTTTAGTTATTAACAATTCAAACCCATCCTTCTGCACACACCTATCAGCAACAAAATTAAGCCCCTCTATCTGTTGCCAGAGGGAAGCGTCCTCCTGGTGTGGGCCACAGATGACCCAGCAGGACTCTTCCTCGCAGCCCTTTAAATGGAGTCCCCCACTTATATCTACTATGGACACCAATCCTAGAGGCCTTTGCTTCAAAGCGCATCTGGCCCAAGCATAGCAGATGCATGGTACCCATGAACACATTGTGACCAGTGTAGCCGTCTGGTCAGAACCTCAGAGAGTCCAAGGAATTCCAGCCCCTAAGGAGAGACCCTTGGCAGGGCACCACAGCTGATGAGGCCCATAGCAGTGCTCCAGCTACTGAGTCTGCACGTACAATTATAATGCAGCACAGTGACTCGTGCCTGTTGGATTGATTTTTAATTTAAGAAACATTTCGGGTGTGTTTGTAAACCCACACATCTGAAATAGGCCCTACGTGAATGCCACAACGAATTAGGGGAGCCGGCCTTCAGCCTTCCATGCCTGGCTCCCTCTGGAATTCTGTGCAGGAAGAATGAATGTTGCCAGTCACCACTGTGGAGCCGGGGATCTGCTTCTCCTTCGGTGGCTAGGAATCCTTCCCTCCCATCCCAGCAACAGTGGAAGAGCCAGAGGGAGCAGACCAGGAGAGAGGGCAACTCCAAATTCTGATACCTGGCCAGAGAGAGTCTGGCTCTGCAGTGTCCCTTGGACAAGGATGTTGAGGTGCTAACTACCATTACAGTGAGTGACAAGGGGCTGATGGTGTCTGTTCTCTGCAAGTGGGGGAGAGAGAACAGAGTGGGCAAGCAGGGCCCAATTCTCCATGTCGGTTCCCAGGACTGGCTGCATAGATCACCTGGGAGCTTTTCAGAAGTACAGATTTTCTATCCCCACCCCAGACCTCCTGAGCCAGAATCTCCAGGTGGGGCCCCAGAATAGGGGTTTCAGTAAGCCTCCAGGTGGACCCTAAGCACTTTACATTTGAAAGCACCGACTGTTCTACAGAGCAAGGGATAATTCTTTCTCCATATACCAACTGTATGTTTTTTAAAATATAAGGCAAGCCACATCATTAAACCCTCAATGACTTCTCATTGCATTTGGAAGAGCTTCCTCACCACCCACCATGGCGCTTGCCCCGCCCTGACACCTTCATCTCTCTCCTGTGCCTCACTCGCCTGTGCTCCATCAACACTGCTCCTCTTTCTTGTCATTTGAAAGTGCTAAGCTCATTTTTACCCCAAGAGCTATTTCCTGGGAAACCTTTTCCCACAAACTTTCACTAAGCTGGATCCTTCACATTAATGGCTGTAACAAAGTACCATAAACTAAGTGGCTTATAAATAACAGAAGTTTACTTCTCACAGTTCTGGACACTGGAAAATCTAAAATTGAGGGGCAAGCATATTCAGTGAGGGCTCACTGGCTCACTCCCTAAGCCTCTTCTAATAAGGGCACTAATCTCATTCACAAGGGCTCCACCCTCATGCTCTGACCACCTCCCCTTATACCATCTTGGGGAGTCAGGATTTCACCATATGAATTTCACCATTGCTGTTCCTGCTGTGTCCCTGTTCTGGGGCCTCCCCAGCCCTTCCTTCCATCTGAGTTGACCTTAATTCGATCATCTTCCATCTTCTCTCTCCCCCTGTATACAAGCCCTTGTAGTGCAGGACCCTTGTCTGTCTAGCATACCTGGCGCATCAGAGATACTCAGTAAATATTTGTAGGATGAACATGTGTTTGAAAGGCAGAAGTGGAACCTGAGGAGGAAATTACAGCTATCATCCATCGAGTGCTTGCTGCATATCTAGCTTTGTGCCAGACACTTTCTGTAATTATGTCATTTAATACTCTCAATCCAGTTGGATATCACATTAGTTATCTCTTGCTGCTTCACAAACTATCCTGAGTCCTAGCAGCTTAGTAAAACTACCTTAATGAGCTCAGGACTCTGCAGATTAGCAATTTGGGCTGGGCTCATTTACGGATCTGCTGCCAGCTGGGGGTGGGGGGGCTCTCCTGGGGGTTGTCTGGCCATCAGTGAGGACAATGGGGACTCTCAGGTCATGTAGTTCATTATCTAGCAAGGTGCCTTAGGCTTGTTCATGTGGTGGTGATCCCAAGGTTACACAAGCAACAGGGAGCAAGCCCCCCTCACACAAGGCCTTTCAGCACCTCTGCAAGTGTCGTGTTTGCTGATGTCCTCCAGACACAAGCAAGTGGATGTGGCCAGCCCAGATCAGCATGGAAAGTATTGCCCGAGGGTATGAGAGAGGATGAAGGATGATTTATACCTACTTGGTAGTCTGCCAAACATATTTTTTTCTGCAATGACAAGATGAAAGTGATTTACTTTCTTTCCTACCAAACATTTTTTATTTTTTTTATTAAATGATAACTGTATACATGAATGCAGTTATACCAAAGATATTGTTATCCACAGTATATTTATGTGGAAACTGAAGCTCAAGGATCAGTCACCAGTTCCCAGGTAGACTGACAAGGTCATGGGTCAAATCCAGGTCTGTCTGTCCTCCAAACCCACAGTTGCAGACCGTGATAATGGACCTTGCAGCCTGCCTTGCGGCAGTGCACCAGAGCAGAAAGGCTGCCTTGTAGAGTGTGAGTTCCCCATCCCAGCAGAGGCTGAGCAGTGCCCTGCCCGGCTGCCCAGGCCCACAGATGCTCTAGCGTTCCTTCTAGCCCAGGCCTTTTAGTTTTCTGCCTGGACTATCTCCCTGCCTGCTCCCTTATAACTACAGAAACTGCACAAGGCTTCCTGTCTTAATGGGACTCCCTGGAATAACACCCACCTGCTTCTAGATCTGCCAAATGTAACTCTCAGGCCATTGCTGAGCTTTTGTCCCCCACTCCCAGGCATGAAGCAATGGTGGGCCCCATGGGAAGTGGAAACAAGTCTGGGACAAGGAGTCAGGTCTTTGGGTTCTAGTATGGACTCTTCTAGTGATTCATCCTGGGCCCTGGAGCGAGGCCCACCCTCTCTGAAGCTTAGCACTTGCCTGGTAAAAATGATATAATCGATCATACAGATGTGGTGGTGTACACCTGTAGTCCCAGCTACTTGGGAGGCTGAGGGAGGAGGCTCACTTGAGCCTAGGTGTTGGAGGCTACAGTGAGTTATGATCACACCACTACATTCCAACTGAGCAAGACCTTGTCTCTAAAAAAATAATTTTTTAAATGATATATTAAGTCCAAAACCAATCTCTAAGAGTCTAAACTGATAATTCTCTGGTTTTAGAATTAACCTTCACTTCTTGAAACATTTTCCAGCAGCCCAGTCATTGCTGTGCCAGGTCTTTATCGTCCTTTGTATCCAAAGCTACATGGGGACAGCTCTTAGAGAACAGGTGTAGGAGAGAACCAGGAGAAGGGTCAAGGGCACTGAGGGTCCTTGAGGCAGATCCAAGAGGGAGGCAGGAGGGGAAGGAGCAGACAGACAACAGATACCAGGGGAGGAGCACACTCTTATTCCAGGAACCACGAGGGGAAGGCATTCGGGGATGTCGCCCTCAGCCTGACACCACTCCACCTTAAATAATGATCTGGGTCCTCGGCACTGGAGTTGAACAGAGCTGGCTGAGAATCTGCGTTCTCTACTTTGTAACTGTATGATCGAAGGAAGTCATTTCACCTCCTTGAGCATCCCTGCCTGTGAAATGATGATGAAAAACTCAATTTTATATAGTTACTGTGAATATGAAATGTGTGGCCAGCACATGGCACACGGCAGGAAAAGGTATAGAGATTTATTGTGCCGTTATCACCTTTTATATATTATCCTCATTATCATAAACCTTGGCTTAGCACTGTTGTTCAGGTCCTGGCAGAAAGGTTGGTTCCAAGGGAGAAAAGGTTGGAGAGATTGGGGCTGGTGGCGTAGAGGCAGAAGTGGGTGTGTCATCCATAGCTCTTGCTCACTCGGGGAGGTTCCCTGGAACGTCTGGTAGCATGTCCCGTAAAGCTCAACTTACTGTTCCCATTAACAGTGCCTACTTTCTGAGAACCTTAAGTATTCTCACTCTAAATTCTCAGGAGAGCCTGGAAGGAGGGCTGCGCCGTGCGGGACTTGATCACTCCTGGGAAAACTCAGCGTCAAAAACAAGTCCCACGAAGTGGTCCCTTCTTCATGCCAAATGTCTCTCTCACCTCACACTTCCTATAGCAACTTTCATCTCTCCATGCAGAAATTATCCTTGCTCTTTACTCTGCACTTCTCAAAAGATCTGTACACGTGGCTCTCCCTTGAAATGCAGCTTACCCCCATGTTGCAGAAGATGCAAGTGAGGGGTGGGGGAATGATTCCAAATCCCAGATCCTCGGAGCCCAGGAGAGAGCAGGGCCCTACAGCAGACTACAGGTGGAGTCAGTGAGGTTAGGTGGTTAGGTGTCCTGGAGAGGGTCGCACCTCTTTAAAAGATGGCGCAGGTCAGTTTGACTAGCATGATAAACCGTGAGAAGCGGAGGGTATTTTGCCCTGATGAGTGTCTTAATCCTCCACATTGAAAGAGGAGGCAAATCTGGGCAATACCGATTCGCAGAACCCTGGAGAGGAAGGAAAGCCTGCAAGTCCTTGAGAGAAAGCCATTGAAACAAGATAGGTGTGCCCATTGTCTTTTGTTTGGAATCTTGGAGATGCATAGAATCGATTTCCTGGTAATTGTCCAAATAAAGTGGGCATTCCGACCAGGAGGCTGCTGACTGGATACCTCTTGCTGGGTACAGAGGAAAATTGAAATAGGCTTCTGCTGTTTCTTAGCTATAGATTTTATGTACCAGGCACTTCTAATGCCTTTGAAAAAAATATATATCTTTATAGATTTCTCTTCAAACATTTTTGCAGAACCCTCTCTGCTGGAAACCCCTTTTGTTTTTTCGCTGGGCTCTGTTCTTCCCGCTCTCCCTGGCTCAGCAGCTCTCAGGTGGCTTCACAAAGTTGGCTAGAGCCCTGGAGCAGTGAGGGCTCCGGAACATGAAGACAGCATCACCCCAGGCGAATGTTTGCTCCCAACATTCTTACGATTTTCTTCTATTCACTTTTCAAGGCAACCAGTGTTATTTTTTTCCTCACCATTTCCAAGGCCCTACAAGGTACCTGTGTACATACACACACCTGGTCTCTAAGTCCAAGAATCAGAGCGGACCGCACACCTAGTACTCCCATGCACTCCTTAGAAAAATGGGAAGAATGACAGCTAGTGCCCTCGGCATGAGTGAAGGCACCCGTAATTGCCGTCGTTGTGACTCTTGTTTTTTCTCTTTGTAACTCAGTGGCCTGGTTTGTCTGAGATGTCTATGGCTGGTCACTGCATTAGGAGATCAGCAGAGCTGTTTCATACCTTTGCTAATAGAGTAAAATCATAGAAGTTTGGGGCTGAAAGGGCATCTTTAGATCACTTAATATAATCACCCCACACATATACATTGAAATGAAGAGGCTGAGCCTTACAGGGGGATGTGACTTGATGTCCTGTGTTCATTTGGAAGCAGAGGAAGACTAGAACCCACAAGTGTTTTTATGCCTGTCTTATCAGTAAAGGCACCAAGTGCTGATTCAAGGAGGGGTTTAGATTGGGAGCCGGTTGACCCAGTGGCCTTGGAGGCAGAGGCTGCAGGAGGCCCAGCGGATGAGGGCTGGACGGCCGTCCCCAGGACTCACCCTCCCTCACCGTCTCTTGCAGGCTCCAGATGCTGGAGGCCATCTGCAAGCACTGGGAGGGGCCCATCAGCCTGGCCCTCTACCTGTCGGACGCCGAGGCCCAGCAGTTCCTCCGCTACGCGCAGGGCTCCGAGGTGCTCATGAGCCGCCACAACGTGGGCTACCACATCGTGTACAAGGAGGGCCAGTTCTACCCCGTGAACCTGCTGCGTAACGTGGCCATGACCCACATCAGCACGCCCTACATGTTCCTGTCCGACATCGACTTCCTGCCCATGTACGGGCTGTACGAGTACCTCAGGTGAGGACCACACGTGCACTTGGCCTTTCTGGGGGGCCAGCTGGGATCCAGAACATGGAAGGGGCCAGGCCATGTCCACCCAGCCACAGAGCTGGGCCCCGAGTCCGCGTGAGGAAATGTTGGTGGTAGGGTGGTGCCTGTGGTTCAAGGAGTAGGGCAGTAGCCCCAGATACCCGAGTGGGCAGGTTCAAACTTAGCCCCGGCCAAAAACTGCAAGAAATGTTGGTGGCAGATCCTGGTCTGGAAAGTATCTCTTTTCTTTAGCATCTATGAAAACAGACTGTCCTCCTCATTTTTGATCAAAGTTCATGGAACCATTCTAGAAAGATTACTGCCTATTCTTTAAAATGAATCTAAGTTCTCATGGTGTCTGACACCTACTGAGTTGCTCCCTGGGGGCCAGGTGCTGTCCCATTCCCTCCCCACCATCTCTGCTATATCTTCTTGGGAAGATAGTGGGAAGAGGGCCGGAAGCCAGTGGCCCAAGGTTGCATGTCTACTAAGGAGGAAGCTGCGTCAAAACATGGCCAGTCCATCTCCACAGTGCTGGGCTTACTTACTGCCTCACGGCTGTTTCTGTGAATCTGTAGTGTCCTTTTCCAACTCTTCCCCATGTAGGGAGGCAGGTGTCTAGTGGCTGCAGGCAGGACTCCCCTAATGAAAGGCCCCAGTGGAGCTGTGACATGTACATCGATCAAAGAACAGTTAGCTGAACTGAAGGGAACTTGAGAAGTCCTGTAGCCCAGAATCCTATTTTACACATGAGGAAACTAAAGTCACAAGACTTAAGTTGGTCCGATAACATTTCTTTCAAGTCCTGTATTTGGTATCATTGTCGGCATGGATTATCTGTACTGCCAGAGTGCTTGCCTGGTCCAGGCAGCGTGGGGTGGTTTGCACAAGTTATCCTGGTGATCTGCACAGCAGCCCCAGAAGGCCGGCATGGTGGCCTCATCCTACAGCAAGGAAGACTGAGGCTCAGAGGCCCAAAATGATGGGCTCAAGTCCAGACAGCTCTCTCCAGGGTGTGACCGGGCGTCTGTCAGCCCCAAGCCTGCAGGCCACCTGCTTCATGATTGTCAGGCTGTGCAGAGATTTCTGAATGTCCCCAGCAGGGCAGGATCTGATGTCCTTCTCTCACTTCTCTTGCCTCCCACCCCCACCCTGTCATCTGCCTAGTCCTTTCTGTCTATTGGTATCTTTCTCTGTCTTGCTGTTTGTCCCTCTCTCTTCCTCTCTTCCTCTTTAAAAGAGCTTCCGAGAGCCTTGAGCCTGTTGTATGGAACCAAAGCATAGTATGAGCAGCCTGAGTTCTCTGTCGCACTTTTGACTGGGGTTTCCTTCCAGGGGCGTCTTGGAGTTTCACAGCCTTAATCCCTGCCCCGTGGCGGGAGGAACCCCTTCCAGCCTCTCTCTGTTAGAAACAGTAGGGTGAGTGACCCCCAGACAGCATGAACCTGAGTCATAGAGAGTGTGGGGGGGTCAGGGGGAAGGTGGTGGTGGTGCTGCTGGGATTCCCAGCACTGGCAGGCACCAGAGGTGGCCTCCACCTGCAGCCTGGTGCTCCAGCTCCTGCTGGGGTCCTGGTATCCCAGTGTGTGAGGTGACGGCGCCCCCATGTGGCCAGATGGGGCTTGCAGCCCCGGATTCCTATAGATTCTGAAACTTTGCCTTCCTAAGGATGACAAGCTCCCAGAGGGGTGAACAGATGAGGGAGTGAGGGCCACCCTACACCAAGAACAGAAAACTTCAGGATTGGACCCCTGCCCAAGGGTCCTCTCCACCCAGTTGAAAGTGAACCCAGCCCCCTCTTGGGAGTCTGTGGTCTCTGCCCTTTCCTGTCCAAGGACTGTTTTATGATTTGACCTCATGAGCATCATGTTTTAAAAAACAAGACACAAGAACAGACTTTTTATGTTGTCGTCCACCGTTTTATTGATCAAAGACATCACGAACTGCTAATTAAGACCTTCCACAAAGTGAGGTGACAGGCTCTGCCCTTTGCTTTAACATCGGCTTAGAGCACAGTCACTGGAGGTCGTAGCTGGCACCTGCCACCTTACCACAGGGACGTACGTCGTTCTCCTCGGGAGCTGTGAAATATTGCAAATTGCTTTTAAGACTTCATTACTTCCTTCACAGACCTTGCCCTGGAAAGCTGAGTACAATTCAATAGGGAGACCACAGCTGGCATCTCTCCCCTCAATTGTGGAACTGTGGCTCTGGGGACAGGGCTAAGGTTCCTAGTATTTGTGTTTTTCTTTTTCTTTTTTTGCAGTTTTTGGTGGGAGATGGATTTGAACCCACCACCTCTGGTCTATGGGGCCAGTGCCCTACTCGTTTGAGCCACAGGCACCACCCAGTATTTGTATTTTTCAGGAGGAACTGAGAATCTGAATCTTTATATAAGATTTTTTTTAATATTGGCAACTAATTTTCAAAAATTGTTTTGAATTCTGTTGAGGCAGAGCAGACATAACTGTAGGCTGCTTTGCCCTGTCTCAGCCCTACTCCAGCCACCAGTGTGTAACCCAGGACTAGGTCATCCCAGAATTTTGAGAACAGTCAGAAACGTGATTCTCTCAAAGCCCCAAATAAGCATGCCCTGTCCCTTTCTTATGAAGGTAATCACATCGACTTGATCTTGGCTGACAGGGAATGTGTCAGATGGCCCCTGTGAGCAGTGTTGCATTCCTGGATTGAGGTAGGGTTAAGGGTGCTGTTTGCCACGGTAGCTGAGGACCCCAGTAAGGCCAGCAGCCTCTCTCGGAGAATGACCTCAGCTCTGATCTCCAACAAAATGCTGTACACAGCCTCTGTTACAATGTTAAATATTACAGCCAGTGCAGTGGCTCACACCTGTAATCCTAGCACTCTAGAGGCCAAGGCTTAAGGATTGCTTGAGCTTAGGAGTTCAAGATCTGCTTGAGCAAGAGTGAGACCCCATCTCTACTAAAAATAGAAAAATCAGCCAGGTATTAAGTGCCTATAGCCCCAGCTACTAGGGAGTTTGAGGCAGAAGGGTTGTTTGAACTCAGGAGGTTGAGATTGCTGTGAGCTGTGACTCCATGACACTCTAGCCTAGGCAACAGAACTAGGAAACTCTGTTTCCCCCTGCAAAAAAATGTTAATACTAGAAATGTTCCACATATGGAACCCTCACCACATGCCAGAAACCCTGCCAGCTCCTTTGCCTCGTTACAAGTGACCAACTGAGGCCCCAGTGAGGTTGCGTGGCAGTGTCAGGAAGAAGGTGTCTCTCCCTTGGCAACAGTCTATGGAAGGGGCCAGATCACTCTCAAACCCCAACATACCAGAGCAGGCTGACTGGCAGCTCTGACTGCACCCCCAAACACTCATATCACCCTTTTTGGGGGGTTCCACTTGGTTACCAAAAAAAAGTTCAGCATCACAGCTCTCTGAGCAGTTGCTTAGCAACCAGCTAATATTACAGCAAAAACAAACAGATCAATTGGGAAATAATGGAATCAGTTTTATGCATGGGCATAGCTGCACAGTGCCACTAAAAGCTCTTCCCCACCCCTTTACCTATTCCTTCTGCAGAGTGAACTTGTAAATGTTCAGCTTTCACTGGAGATTTCAGAACTGTTAAGGGAAAGTCGGCAGGGCATGGCCAGAGTCATGCAGAGCTGCCTTTGAATCAGGAGTCTGCAGCACTGACCAATGGTATGACTTGGGGTGCATCCATGGTCTCCTCGTCCTCCATTCTCTCAATTAATAAATACTCACTAATAGACTCTTGCAGAGCTTTATATATTTATACCCCACTCAGACCCTGCCACTGCAAACTCTGCCACCTTCTTTCCGGCTTGGGGAACTGCATGTGACCATTGCCAAGTTTTTCTCCTACTGAAAATGAGAAACTCTATATGCACATTCATTCACTTAAAAAAAAAAAAAACGTGAGCATCTATTGTGTTTTAGGCTGCGTGCCGCACTGCAGGTGACAGTGTGGCCCTGGGGTCGTTCAGACCTGCGTTTCAATGTTGAGGACTTATTGGGTATTCCTTGGCCATGGGAAAGTAACCTCTAACTTGCCTTTTCTGTGGAGAGGGATCATAGTGTTTCCTCCCTCATAAGGTCCTGTGGGAAGATGACGTGTAATTGTGTTTGGAAAGCACCTGGCAACTCCTGTGGCTAAAGTCTGGTGGCTGATGTTCCAGGATGTCAGAGGCATCAGAGATGGGCCGCCCGGCCAGCTTCATCCTGAGACTTTGCACCTCCATGGGGCTGGGCCAGGTTTCTGCCTCTTTCACTGACCCTGCAGAATTCTTTACATTGATGCCTAAAACTGAAAGCGTCTCTACTGTCCTCCCTGCTTTTGCTTTCTAGGGGACAAAGATGTCACACTGGGCGGAGACGACATTTTGCAATCTATAGGAATGCCAGATTTCTGTTTTATTCTCTTCTTTCCAGGGTGACGTCTGACCCCTCCCCATCCTATTTCCCCTGGCACATAATGCTATTCTATAAATACTTGTTGAGAAAGTGCAGAAATTTGCGCAAGGCCAGGTTGAGGTGGCACCAGGGTGCCTGCCGAGAGACTTTGCCGGGTGGCATTTCCTTGGGTTCATTCGTCATTTTAATTCTGCTATATCTGTGCCATTTAACATTTATTGAGCACTTCCAACGTACTAGCCCCCGTTACAAGCCCTTTCACGTGCATTTTATCATTTAACCTCACCGCAGTTCATTTTACAGATGAGGATGATTAGGCTAAATAACGTGGCCTGAGGCACAGCAGTGCCGAATGGCCAACTGCTTATCTGGGTTTATCCATAGATGCTCTGTGCTTAACCTGTTTACTGATCCAGTTGCCTGATGGGCCCATCTCATTTCTGTCTTCATCACAATGGCTGCGATCAGCACCACACTTAGTATTTGCCGAGTACGTTCTGTGCACCAAAGAACCCTCTTAATCTTTGCATGAAATGATACGTTGAGGCCTTACAAGATCTCACAGCACGCTCATACTATCC